AAGGTCCAGTTACCTTCTCATGGTTCCCGGGATCTGGAGGCCTCAGACTGCTTGAGGCCCTGGCCCAGCCCTGGCAAGGGAGAGACAGTGTTGCTTCTATGGGATGTTGACCTCTGCCCCTGAAGGCTGGCTCTATCCAGCAGAAGTGCACCGGCTCCTCTGAAGCAGTTTCCTTTAACATGATGCCTTCCCTCCTCTGTTGATCTGCTTTGTTCATCACTCTAGATGAGGGTTCTCAACTTTTGCACTACTGATGTTTTGGGTCAGATAATTCTCTGTTGTGGGGAGCTGTCCTGTGCATTGCATGAAGTTTAGCAGCATCCCTGGCCTTTGCCCACTAGATGCCAGTAGGACACCAACTCTCCCACCCCCCTCCAAATTCTGACAAACAAAAATGTTTCCGGATATTGCCAAATGACCTTGGGAGGGGGGTGGGTGGAGAAGAAGGGGGCACAAAATTCCCTCCAGTTGAGAACCACTGCTCTAGATGTTTCTGGTACTGAGATTAGGTTTTTACTTCATTGACTCTGCTTTTACCAACAAGCATGAGTTTCAAATTTAGGAAACTTAGTAAGACCAAAACATTGATTTCTTCTATAGAATAAAAATACTGTAGTTTAAAATTGTGAGTTTTTGCTAATTTGGTAATAATACCCTTTAATTGCTCCTCAAAAGGACAAACAGTACATTTTCAGAACTTGGAAAAAAGAGCAGCTCAATGAAAGCATTTTAAAGTTAGTACCAAAGTTTACAATGTTTGGCTAACAGTGTTTGCCCTGGAGTTTGTTATTTAAATGAGGCAAGAGGCATCAATAGTGTGTAGTTAGGCTTGACTCCTATGATAATCAGCTCTCTGAAAGTGGATGCCATGCCCAATCATCTGGTCTACCCAGAGTGCCTTGCATTACAAAGATACTCAGGTGGGAAGGTTAGATGGATAGATGTGTCATAAAACAAAAAAAGCAAAATGTTAGTTGCAATATGTAGGTGATGGAGTATGAGTGGTAACTGTAACTTCTTTCAACTTTTTTGTGTGTTTGAAAGTTTTCGTAATAAACTGTTGGGGGAGAAAAGCCTCTGGAACTGCTGGTTAGGTTGACTTTCTTTACACGCCTATTATTTCAGTTGGATGTGGTTCAGTTGCTTTTCTAACAATATTGTAATAGTTAGGTAATACAATTGGTGGTCCAAAATCCAGGCTTTAATATTGTTTGTGTCCTATTTAAAATGATGGCTATGCGGCTGAATTAAGTGTGGGAGTGTTTATTATTGCAAACCATTATAGAGAAGTGTGATGTATTATTACTATTTCTACTCACATGTGAATATTTTTGAGACATTTTCTGTCTTCTAAAAGGGGATGATTTCCTCATTATTATAAAGTTAAATTCTAGGCTTATACCACCTCTGATTTGCAGAATATTCTTCATTGGAAAGCATCCTTCTCTCTACCTTTTCACACCCTTCTCCCATAGTGTAGACTAAGTTTTTTAGAAACTATGTCAGTTTTAGTGCTGGTTATAGCAGTGTCTGGTGTATGGTAAGTACTTTGTTTTAGTGCTGGTTATAGCAGTGTCTGGTGTATGGTAAATACTTAATGAATGCTTACTGAGTGAGTGAGTGGAAGTTCAGGAGAAATAGGGGGGAAATTCCTTCCTTCTCCTTTTCCTGTTAGACTTTTTGTTGCCCCAATTGGGGATTGAATTTTTTGAATGGTGTATAAATTATTTGTAGAGTTAATACATTTCTGCTCCAAAATATTTTAGAAATAGTCTAGGAAGATTTTTGTATGCAAACTATTTATAGGTTAGAATCTTGAGAATAGGGAGTACACAACAGCTCCTGCAGCAGACAGGAGGCATTGATGCCTCTGGGAGTGGCTGCCATTTTGGGAAAAGACAAGATTTCATTATCTGCTATCTATCCTTGTGGGCTTTGTCTTGTTGCTTTTTCTGAGGATTAATAAAAGCTGAGTTTCTGTCTTCCTGACTAAGCTTCAGAGGACCACAAGTGGAGTGGACACTAGAGGTAGGATCACATTTTTTCCTTATAAAAATGAGGAATAGAGCTTTTTTTCCTTGCCTAATAAAAAGGCTCATAGCCAAAAAGTTATAAACAAATTTGAAGGTTTTGGAACAGGAAAAACATGCAGGAGCCTGGCATCTTTTAACCTTTTGACCTTGTGGTCTACAAAGGCGCTAAAAGAAAATTGTCTTTATTGAAAGATAGGAGCTTATTTTTAACAGAATATTGAACATTCTGTTAATTGGCTAAATTAACATTTTATAGTTGACTAAATCATTATTAAAATCCTATTAATTATATATTTTTTTAAAAAATCATAATCTCTGAGCCAGAAGTAAAGGAAGCCTGCATGACTGGACAACTTTGGCCTATAACTTGGAAGGGGAAATATTTGCTTCTACTTGATAGCTAGCACTACATTTTTGTGTGCTGTATTATAGTGTTTATGTGCAAACATGCCATGAAGTCCCCATTTTTTTCCTCCTCAGCAAATTATGCTAACAGTTTCTTACATGTGATTAGATTTCTACAATGCAAGTTCTTCTGAGGGAATAAATAGAATTAGCAGATGCTATCAGATGATACAGTCATTTCCAGATACTGGTAGAATGGTAGATACTTTTATGTCATAAGTCTTCTGTAAGACATAAATTACTTTCTTGATGAAGAAAACACATATTTCCCTTGATCAGAGCCTTAAAATCCTGGTAATATTTCTGTGACATCTTTGCCATTACTCTAATTAACTATATATAGAAAACTTAGAAGCGCATTCAGTCCAAGCTCTTTTAAGAAAAGTGAGTGTCCTTAAATGCTGTTGACAAAAATAGAAAATGTACCGTGACAGGAAGGTTTTAGGTTACCAACACCATTCTCGATCCAGCAGATTTCTTTGAGCTTGCCCTCTTTATTTAGAATATGAGGAGAGAATGGAATCCATGGAGAAGAGGATCCAGGAAGCACTGTATCTTGTTGTGCTTACAGATGATGAATGGGGAAAAGAATTGATAGACTTTGTAATAAAGCAACAGTTTTAATTTTTTAATTGGAAATATTCAAACAGAGGGGACTATAGGCATTGCAGAGTAGAACTTGTAATACATGTAGAGCAGGCATCAGCAAAATTCCTCTGTAAAGAGCCAGAGAGTAAATATTTTAGGGCTTTGTGGGCGATATGTTCTCTGTTACAGCTACTCAGCTTTGCAGTTGTAGTGTGAAAGAAGTCATAGACAATATGTAAATGAATGAATGTGGCTGTACTCCAATACAACTTTATTTATGGACACTGAAATTTGAATTTCATATTATTTCCATGTGTCACAAAATATTCATCTTTGATTTTTTTCCCCCAGTGATTTAAAACTGTAAACATTCTTAGCTCACAGGCCATAGAGAAAGAGGTGATGGGCTGTTGTTTGCTGACCCCTAAATCTCAGTTAGTGATACTACTAACCAATAAAACATGTAACGTGATGATGGAATAGAATGTCTGTCCCATGCGCGGCCTACCGTGCTTTTTAAGCCCTCTTTAATATCAAGAGAGGTTAAAAAATATAAAATTTGCTTTATCTTTGAGAAGAGATGAGAATAATAAACTAGTAATATGATTAAGACTCAGTGGAGTTAGACCACTAATATTCTTAGGAATTTGCTAAACACAAAAACAGCACCTTTAAGTTCAGCAGGCACAATTCCTTAAACTCAGGAGTAGGACGAATGCAGTACTCAGTGAGGATGTCTTCTGGATTTAACTGCAGAGCTCTTTGAAAATTCTAAATCCATCAGAATCCAGCGGTGTAGTTTCGTAAGACATTTCGTACAATGACACCTGAGAATGTTCCCACTCATGAGTACAGAAGACAATAGAATAAAAGAACTTTTAAAGAAATCAAGTGTGTTTCATTGGCTCTTGCTGCAACAAATCTCTTGGACCTGTTATTCAGAGACAAGCCTAAGTGAGGAAAGCATTGCTCCTTAATTTAACCGGCATTTTTAGGATTTAGTGTTGGCAAAATATTTGGAAATGTTGCAAAATACAAAATATTTCAGATTTTTGATCTAGAAACGTAGACTGGGATTTTGCCACGCCTGTTTTTTATGGAGCGAGGTGAAAATATTTCTTCCTTGCTTTAGTTTCTTCCATCTTCTAGAGCAGGTGAAAAAAATTGACCACTTGGAAAGAAACACTCCCAATGAAAGATACAGTAATATTGTAAAGAACAGAGAAATTTTTCTTGAACCAGATAAATAAAATTTGATGAAGATTAGGTGAAAGAAATGCAGCATCAGAAGAGGCAGAATCAGTTGTTAGCAATACCTTGGAAAATGAAGCTATGAACAAGTTTTATTTCAGTGAGTTCAAATGGAGTTTGTTTTTATATTTTTATTTTTAACCTTAACGTCTTTTTCGAAAGTGAGTTGTATTGTATCTGCTTGATATCAAGGAAAACATTAAATTTAGAACATATAACTTTGGTCATACTGATTTTTTTTTTCCTGTTCATGGATTTTTGTTTGCTGCTTTGTAAATGGGGAGAAAGCTTGAGAAATGCTAGGTGTCTTAAAGTTGGATAGCTTCATTTGAAACTTATAGTTGACGATATTTGAAAATAAAATGGGTTGGTAAATTTGTAAATTTGTGTTGTTTAATATACCAAACCAGGTTGAGATTATGTCTATGAGCCTTAATAAATAACTTTCTAATGCTAAACTAACAAAGTGACTTTAGATATTTTAAAAGTACTTTGACATATAAGTAAAAGTTTTAGAATTCTCCTCTTATATTTCTTTTGTTTTGGGGGAAAATAAACTTTCCCCTGACTTAACTATGAAATTTACATTTCTGATTAGCTAATGAGCTGGAGTGAAATTAGGGAAACTTGCGATCTTTTGATTTGAAAACCAGAAGAAGAATGGACAGTGCTTTGTTTTTGACTGGAGCTTATGCGTTCTCTTGTGTTTTACTCTTTTTTCAGTGAAACCAGCAGTGTGTGTAGCAGCAGTGACACAGGGCTCTTTACCAACGATGAAGGACGGCAAGGTAATCTTGATCCCGGCTTTGGGACGTTGGTTCTGGGAAGATTCTAATGCTTATAGGAGTGACTCGCTGAGAATATGATGGTTGTCTGTGGCAGTGGTTCTCAAATTTTAGGGCATATAAGAACCACCTGGGCAACTGTTAAAACTGCAAATTCCTGAGCTCCTAGAAATCAAATAGGTCTAGACTTGGCCCCTGGAATCTGCATTTTTCATAAGCACCTGTGGTGACTTTTATGCAGGTAGTTCAGACTTTGAGAGTTATTGATCCAGAGGGGTTATAGTGTCAAGGATGGGAATTTGGGAAGTGGCTTTTTATTAGTACCGAAAAATATCCTCATGTATTACTCTCTTTTTTTGGGTGTTAAGATATTCTTATTTTCACATAGGGAGAGTTTATTTTTATAACCTTATTTATAAATTATCATAGTGTTCTGGGTGAATACATTATAGAAAACATTTTCTTTCTAAAGTTAAAACTCCTGAAGTTTAGTATAGAGCACTGTGAATAAGGCTGGTGTTTGTTAATGATCAGTTCTTTATTTTTACTACCTAAACAGTGATTTGAAACTTTGTTCTTGTCCTGTACACTTGCTTAGAGCCACACTAGTTGTGTACCAATAAGAATTTCATATAGCTCCTTTGGACTGTAGTTTTCTTAATCTAAATAAGAGATTTGTAGATCTCTAAAGTTCCTTCCAGCTCTGGAATTCAGTGATTTTTCTCCAAGAGTTAAGTGGTGGAAGGACAGAGGCATGGTGGCTACATGCCCAGATTGATCCAGATAGACTTCCTAGTAACTGAAGGGATCCTGATTTTGAGAGAGACTGTGGGGAGGGTGTCTCCCCCATGCCTCAGAGTTGTGGGCATGGATGGAGGTGTTGAGCTTCCTACTATATTGGAGGTTGTTTTGAGTACAATTCTATCCTTTTCTCATTCTGAAAGAGCTAGGTATCATTAGAGGCTGTGCGTGTCTTCTCCTAGGTAGGCGCTAGCTCAAGTCGTGATTCTCTTATCTCATACCGGGAAAGTCTGGTTGTCTTTCCATGAATGAGCTAGTGCATGCTGTTCAGAATTACTAATATTTGCTCTTTTTCTTTGCTTTTACTACAGTGCTATGAAGTATCATAATGCACCTCTTAAAGATTGTGATGCATAATTAAACAGAGGTATAAGAATGTGTGGGCCTATTACAACAGATTAAGTTTGGGGCCTTTGGAAAGCCTTTCCACTGATAAGGCATGTTTGGTTTATCATGGAAGATTGTAGAATATTCTAGAGCCCCGGCTTTCCTCTCTGTCTCTGCCTCAACTTCACACATTCTGGTGATATTTAGACGTTTAGAGTTCTCAGCACAAAGCTATGTTATTTCCAGATTTCATGTTTTTGTGTATGCTGGTCTCTCTGCCTACAGTCTCATCCTCACCTTTCCTTAAATGGCTGGTCATCCACCAAGACACAGTTCTCTTTTTGCCCCTCCAAGGCATATTTATGGACTACATCAGTGGGCTTTCTTGCCCTCAATTTCTTGTTGAGTTTGACCAGTAGGAGACATCAGCAGAAGAATGGAGGGAGGGAGGTGAATAAGATTGGATGTATTGGTTAAGTTTTTATCGTGATAGTACTGTTTATCAGTCCTCAAATTTCAGTGGTTTACCACATTTAATTCTTGCTGTGGGACTGGAGGTTGGCTGTGGTTCACCTGGTCTTACCTGGGCTCAGCTGGTCTTTAGGCTTCAAGTTAGGTTTGTATCTATTCAGTGTATCTTATTCTGAGACCTAGGCTAAAGGAGCAATGGCTGTATGTGGCATGGACTTCTCATGGCAGAGGACATGAATGACAAGTGACCAAGCCAGACCATGCATGAATATTTAAAGCTTTTGCTTGAATCACATCTGCTAATGTTCTACTACCTAAAGCAACTCATATGACTAAGCCCAGTGTCTGTGGGATGAGGAAGTGTGCTCTGCCTCATGGGGAAGGCCCTGTGGAATCCCATGCAAAGGCCAAAGGGCGTGGATGTACCATTCTATTATAGGGAGGTGGTGAAGAGGTGGAAACAATAATGCAGTCTACCACATTGGATTGTAGCTTTCCCTGGCTCCCTTTCTGTCGAACTGCTGGTTGGCAATGGTTGTGTTCCTCTGCTGAAGGCCACCACTCCTATTGGGCAGCCTTCTCCTGTAACCACAGTTCTCTCCCTGGGCTCTGATAACCATTCTTTCCCCTTGCCACCTCAGGTCTAGGAATGGTCAAGACTCCTGGCTGTGCTGGCTCCAGGGTGCTTCACCATCCCTTACTGGTCTCTCATAATACTGTCTGCACCTTTGTAAATAGTCACTTCATTAAAGTCTTAATTACTCTATTTAAATGTGCATGTGCTCCGTAAAGGGATTCTGAGTGATATACTCAGTGTAGGCATCATCTCCTAGAACCCTTACTCTTTTCTTGCTGTATTTATTGCTTGCTTACCACTTACCATATTACATTATTGTCTGTAGATGTGTGTCTTTTCCATTGAACAAGCTTTTCAAAAGCAGAAATTTTTATATTATTTGCAGCCATAATAGGTAACACATTGCTTGGCATATAGTGAGCTCTTAATAAATAGTTATTGGGAAACCCAGTTAAGGGGAAAATTCTCCTTTTTTTCCCTCAAACAGAGTTGTACATAGAACCTCAAATTGTAAAACAACTAAACCTCTTTTAGTTAAAGCAAGAGCCTGAAGGAGTAGGAGGTCAGGAGTCTGATGCACTCAGCCTCTTTCTTGTTCTCTGGCCGCACTCTTTTGAGGAGCTCCTGCGTCAGGCATCCTAGTGAACCCAGGTTGAAGACTACTGGTCTAGATGGTCTCACAAGGTTCCTTTCAGTTCAATGAGTCCCTTTTCATATTATCAAAAATCTTTAGTGAATGCTTGAGAATGAAAAAAAATTCCATTGTAGTTTGCCATTTGTCATCAGAAAACATGATCTGGTTAAATATACTGTTTTAATAAATGGCCTAAAGAATGCTTATGAATAAGAAAGGAATATGTATATTGAAGTGCAGAGAAACGGATCATTGTTAATTCTGATGCCTATCTTTAATTCACCTATGTACTTGGTTTGATGAGATGCCTTTAGACTAGTGGCTCTCAAAATATGGTCCCCAGACCAGCTTAGCATCACTAGGGAACTTGTTAGAAATGCAGATTTTTGGTCCTGCCCCTGCCAGACCAGAGTCAGAAACTTTCGGGGTAGGGCCCAGCACAAACAACCCCTCCTTGTCCTTCTGATGCACACTAAAAGTTGAGAACCGCTGTTTTAGAGAAACAGCTGTTGGTGGTGTGCTTTTTATAAGGGAACACTTTGAGTAACTTCTTTCATGGCAATATCTGTTGCTATTCACCAGGATGCAGCTTTCATTTCTTCTTTCAGCCGTCTGCACAGTGATTTAAGAGTTATCATTATCCTGAGTGTTAGTGGCCCATGAATCTGATACTTCATGTCCTGAACATCTTCCCTGGGATCAGTAGAGTCGGCTATCCATCTTGGGGGTTCAACATCTGCAGATTTCAACTAACGGCGGATTGAAAGGCCTACAATAGTTGTGTCAGTACTGAGCATGTATAGATTTTTTTTTCTTGTCATTATTCCCTAAACAATGCAGTATAACAACTATTTACATAGCATTTACATTGTATTAGGTATTATAAGTAATCTAGAGATGATTGAAAGTATATGGGAGGATATGCGTAGGTTATATTGCAAATACTATGTCATTTTATATAAGGGACTTGAACATCCACTGCTTTTGATATCCACGGGAGTCCTGGAACCAGTCCCCTGTGGATACCGAGGGATGACAGTTTATATTAGAGAATGAGTGCATTATGAACTCTTTAGAAGTTCTTTTAATAATTTCCTTCATCCTTGCTATTTGAAAGGGCGGTGGGGTGGCAGACGTCAAGTTATGTATCTTACTCTTTGTTGGCAGGACTGAATGCTATTGGAAATTGAGATGCTATCATTGTAGCCAGTAGAAAGAAATTTGAACCAAGAGTCTGAATATATGAGTCTAGTCTTGACTTTGTCATTAATGAAGAGTATGGCCTTGGGTGAATGGTATAACTTCTTGACAAGCGTTGGGGAATTATATTGTTTATCTCTGTCGTTAGTTTTTTATTGGGAGCTTGGATTGCTAGTGTCAAGATGATTTTTCTGTCCCATTAATGAGGTACCAAGGAAAAAATGAGGTATGGGTATACATTCTTTATTCACCTATTATGAGACATGCAAATATAGCAAGAAATCCCTAGGAACAGCTAGTTTTGAATTGAGAAACATTTGTGGGCTTTGAACCCCCAAGTTCATTTATACCACTGATAATGGTACATGGGAGGCAGTTTATTTTTTTGATAAAGGCTTTGAAATTTGTTAGGGTTTGGCTTCACATCCTGGCTTCATCATTTACTAACTTGACCTTGACTTCTCTGGGCTTTAGTTGCCTCTTTTGTAAGTTGGAGTTAGTGTAAGGTTTGGAAAAGATAACATATTTACAGATTTTTAGTAAGGATCCTGGTAGGGGGTAAGGGCTTAGTAAATGATAGCTTTATTAGTTTTTACTATTAAAAGCAGTCCAGCATAACACAGTATGACATTTCTGTGAAACTAGTTTGATGTTCCAGTTTTCATCATAATATGGATCAAGAAGAAGGATCAAAACAATTTTTTTGTACTTTGACTTTATTTAAAAAGTATAATCAAACCTATAGCACTGAGAAATTATTCTCCCATTTGCTTTTTCATAGAGCATGTTAAAATTCCAGCTTATGATATGATCTCTTTACTCTAGGGGATGATGAGCAGAGTGATTGGTTCTATGAAGGAGAATGTGTCCCAGGATTCACTGTCCCTAATCTGCTGCCCAAGTGGGCTCCTGATCATTGCTCTGAAGTAGAAAGAATGGATTCTGGATTGGATAAACTTTCTGATCCCACGTTCCTTTTACCTTCTCGGCCAGCTCAAAGAGGTAAGTTCTGAGGAGACCAAAATATAGTTCACATTGTATGGTTCTCTTTGGGGAGAATCATCCCATGGCAAGCGTGCTCATGCCTCTAAGCCCGCATTAATTGTCTGAATTTTGGAGCTAGTCCAGGGCTGTTTCTGGAGGATTCAAGGGTGAGTCTCAAAGCTTGAGTTTCTCTTCATTCTTGTCTAAATCAATCCATGGAGACCCTTGGGATAGATACAGCAGGCCATTCCTTCAGCTTACCATTGCCATTTGTGCCAGATTAGAAAGCCTAGCAGCGTGTCAGGGTGCTTATCCTGCTGTGAAACTGATGGGCTGTTGAGTGCTCAGTGGAAGCCTGAAGTATTGGATCTTGGAAGAGAACAGATTTCAGTAAGAACATTCACATACAAGGTATAATGGCATTTTTTAAATGGATGATTTAAAAATATTTCTTTAAATAATTTTATTTGAATAGTTCTATTATTATGGACTTCAGTACAAATACATATCCTTTCTCTTTGCTTTTCCTTTAATTATGATGTAGCAAGATGGGATGGAAAGAGCCTAAGACAGAGAGAAGGAAATGTGGCAGTAATACTCTTTGATACTGTCTACTTAGCTCTGTGACTGTGACAGTCACTTCATTTCCTTGGGACCTCAGGGTCATCACGTAAGATATTGCGACATTGAACAAAACTGTTGCAGAGATTTCTTTTAGCTCTATAAATTTATGATTCTGGGATTCCCAGTAATCAGTAATCAACCACTTAGTCATTTATCAAGTATTTGTTGAGCATCTGCTGGTGATCAGAATTACACCAAGAGCTCTAAACTCCTGTTCTATTGCATTTTGTTATAATGAATTTGGGTGATTGAAAGGCCTTCTTGAAGCAGTTGGTTCTTGGTAAAGACTACTCCCTGGCTGAGGCACATTGTTTATTACCTTAATAACTTGCACTGAACATTTCCATAACTATTTCTAAAAGTTCTTTATGGACCGCTTAAAACACACACAAATAAGCAAGAGTAGGGAGAAGAAGAAACTTAAAATGGTCTGTAATCCCACACCCAGAGACGGTGTCATTGATGACATTTTGTGTGGGTCTTCCAGCTGTCTTTTCTATGTGTAAAACACATACAGCAGTTAGAAAAAGAGGATTATATTATCCAGGCTGTGTTTATCATTATTTCATGAATTAGAATGTTTTTGAGATAATAACCAGCATTTAACTTATAATTAGACATTGTTGATTATACCTTATATTTGTGTAGTGTTTTCAGTTTATAAAGCACCTTCCAGATGCTCTTTCATTGGGTCTTCAAAATAGCCTTGTAAGATAGGACTGAGCAAGTGATTATTCCTCTTTTATAGACAAGGATGCCTAGGTCAGAGGTAAATGATGTCATGCCTAAGATCATCCTGCTGGTGACAAAGACATGGGAATAATAAATCCTTGGCACATAGCCTGGGGATACCAGTTTAAGGGTCAATCTAGCAAGATCCTGGGGGTTAAGGCTTTTGGTGTGCTAGAAGCATATCATTGCTAATGAATCTTCTGCATTCAGGTACTGAGGACTTTTTTCTTTTGTTTTTAGGGTACCATGCTCGCTTGAATCGTCTGCCTGGAGCTGCAGCTCGATGCCTCAGAAAGGGGCGAAGAAGGCTTGTTGGGAAGGTGGTAGCTCTCACTGTTTACTAGGCTTAATGGGAAGATGATGTTCCCTAGGGGATTTGTGTACCTATTCATAATCAAAGGTGCTGCAGAACTCCCTGGAGTTAATTAAGCCAACTGGAGTATTTTGTGAGTTCACAAGAGTGCGCATTATGCAGGATATGAATGGATACACACTTAAAAGATGAAGCATATTTCATACGGAAGTTCTGACAAAGCAAACATTGTTATGACCTTGTCTATGTCTATATATCTACAGGCCTGATCTCTGTCTCTTCTACTCTTTTGATTAATCTTTTATTCTTATTATATAAGTTAAAATACTCTTGGCTTCTTTATGATTTCTCCTGAATTCATGAATGCTTCTTTTGTCCTAACTTTGGTCTTTCATTCTAGAATTCATTAAAAAGAAAAAAATGGAAAGAAAACCTCTGTTAACAAATTTTAGAAGCCCCTCCTTGGCCATGAGGGAGGAAGGTCTACCATTGACTCAGTTCTGCCTTTGCCAGGGACTGTGCTAAGCACTCAGTTCATATACTTCTTCCAACAACCTTGTAAAAAAGGTGATATTGCCCTTTAGCAGATGAGGAAAATTGGAGTTCAAAGAAGTTAAGAAATGTCTGATGTTACCCAGATAGAAGTGGCAGAATAGAGAATTGAACCCAGGTCTACTTCTCATAATTTTATCTTTTTTAATTTAAATTTTAAAAATTATGTATTTTTATTCTAGCTTTGAGATTGAAAATAGGTTAAGACTGGGGCTCATACCGAGTCAAAGAAGATGGTGGGGCTGGCGACATGGCTTAGCGGTTAAGTGCGCATGCTCCGCTGCTGGCGGCCCGGGTTCGGATCCCGGGCGCGCACCGACGCACTGCTTCTCCGGCCATGCTGAGGCCGCGTCCCACGTACAGCAACTAGAAGGATGTGCATCTGTGACATACAACTCTCTAATGGGGCTTTGGGGGAAATAAATAAATAAATAAAATTATAAAAGAAGATGGTGGTGGGCAAAGAGAAAGGAAGGGAGAGGCATTTTAGAGCTGTAGTTTGTTTGTTCAGTCAATAAGCATTTAGAATGCCTACTGTGTGGCAGCTCTGTGCCAAGCCAGGCATATAGTAGTCAGAACCACAGTCTGGCTGCCCTCAGGGAGCTGCTATTTTGTAGTTTAATCAGAGAACTGTTTTCTGAAGTTTTAGCCATGCAAAATAAATGAGGCTGTTTATTTCCAGATGAACTCGGATTCTTACTGCTTTTTATCTTTAAACTCAATTTCAAATCTCTAATTAGAAAGATATTTGATTATTGGAAGAATGATACCTTCTTCTTTTGGATCACTCATTTTACAGACAATAACATGCTGCTTTTGCTATTCTGGGAGCTTATTCTTAACAGGACAGCTGGCAGGGGAGAAGGTTGTGGGGTGGAGAGAGGCAGGAGGTTGGGAGTGGGGACCTTTTCTCTTTATTGTTTGGGCTTGACAGACAATGTTCTCCCTATCACCTGCCTTACTTTGTTTCAGCTGCTGTAAAATAAGAGCCTTCGACTTCCATTGAAGTAAATCGGTTCATCTTGAAGGCTCCCTTTAGCTTGCCTAGAAGGAAACTAGGGCTGATTGGACGTGCCTCTAATGATTTCAAATGAGTAGGATAATATTTACTTGTTTAATTCATCTTCATCACCTTAAAGGGATATTTGTCATTTCTAGCAGAGGTCACTGTTCTGCCCCCCTTCTCCCCCCTCCCCCATCTCTCTTCTCTTTTTCTAAATTGTAATCATAAATAATGAGTTTCATTCACAGCTCCCTGCCAGCGAGCTGCTAATTACGCAAAGTAGTGCTTGTAATTTACACAGTAATAAACTGTAAATTTAAACATTACGGCACTTTAAGTTAATAATTTTCTGCTGTAACAAATAGCTCATTTTTCACCTGTCTTTTCCCTTGGTCCCACTACCATGGCTGTGTCTATAAGCAGGAGGCATAGCGTAAGGGATAAAGAATATGACAACTACAGTGTGTGGAACCTTTGCATTTAGCTCCACTCTCGCCCAGAATCTGACCTCAAATTAATTTTTCTATAACCAGTTGTTCTGCTAAAATGTGTATCCTAATGTTTAGACTAATCCACACACATAGATGAATACGGATAATAATATTTGCCCAGAAACAAATGTGTTTGAGTAACAGGCCTGACATTCTTGACATTCATGCCTATGACTTATGCTCTCTCGTCTTAACACTTATTCTTAAGTGTGTAATTCTTACTCGTGTATGTACTGGTATGCTTCCCCGGGTATTGTGATAGGTATTCATTGTAAATATACTCAAGCTAAATGAAGGGTGAGTGCCTTCTGCCATTTTCCAGTTTTTGGAGATGATTAGATTTGAATTGCTTATGGTGTTATGGGTAAGATTTCGTATTACAATCTTGAGAATGCCAAATTTAAGAAGCAATTTATACAAACTACTTCTTTTTTTTTTTTGGTGAGGAAGATTGGCCCTGAGCTGATATCTGTTGCCAATCTTCCTCTTTTTGCTTGAGAAAGATTGTCACTGAGCTAACATCTGTGCCAGTCTTCCTCCACTTTGTATGTGGGACGCCTCCACAGCATGGCTCAGTGAGTGGTGTGTAGGTCCACGCCTGGGATCTGAACCAGTGAACCCCGGGCCACCGAAGTGGGGTGCGCGAACTTAACCACTATGCCACCGGCCCCACAAACTTCTGTTTTTACTTTGAGAGATGACATTTAACAGACCAAATACAGGGTGACAATTTTTTAAGTTACAAAAGTCTTTTGATGTATATACGTTTAGTCAGCAGATATTTAGGTGTTACCAGTGAGGACTCGGTAAATGTCCCATTATGAAGGCTGTTAGGGATATCATCATATCACTTGAGGGAGCTTGATGTGTTCGCTTGTTAAAAATTGGCTGCTGTTGGATTTTTTAAAAAAGTGTTTCTATTTCTATACACTTTAATAACTCTAGGAGGTATTACTCACTATATTAAAATACTATATATAGTAAACAATGTTTATGACTTTTTGAGCACTAGAGAAAAATAAGTCTAGAATAACATGTAAAACTTTTAAGATAGATTCCCATAAAAAGAAATGTAGTTGCTGTTCGATTAAAGGTTGACATTTGACCTGTGCCTTTGAGGATGCCGACACAGTTGTGGGAAAGTTGTGTGCTTGATGACAGGTTGTGCTTTATGTATTTGTTTCTGTGGTTAGATGACACTCTTGTCTTCCTTGTCTTTTCAGGAGACCAGCATAAGTACTTTGGGTACTGAGAGGATAGGCCACATCATCAGTGACCCTCGGCAGAAAGAGTAAGTGCTTATATATTTACGGGCTCTCCAGCCTGTTCCTTGGAGAAGGAGGCACAGGGAAGTTTTATGAAGGAACCTAGAAATCCGACTTTGGAGCTGAAAGAGGAGATCTTAAAGATTTGCACTTTATAACAGTTAACATGGCTAACACCCTAAACCCATGAGAGTCATGTTTTTTCCTTTCTAGACTAGTTTCTATTCTTTGTATAGCTATAGGTGCTGCATTAGGAAAGTAGACTCCAATAAGAATGTTATATTTTAAACTCATTTTTCTGTCTCTTAAAAATTTTTTGTTCAAAAATGGGTGATTGCCTCTCTATTCCCCTATATGCTTTTCCCATTTTTAGACCTCTAGATAGGGAAATATCTTTTTTGTCCTAACTACTATGATAAGTGCAACTGGGAAGCCTGTGGGTAGCTACAGTACAGTCATTCCACCCTTTCTATTGACAACTTCGTCCCCTGACATGATTGACTCTTTGATGTCTCCTGTACACGTTATGGTCAGTATCCATTTGTGATCCTATACCCATCCAGCCTGGTCACATTTTTAATTTACAAAATAGGCAGGATTTGCGTGTGGTTTATGCCCTTGTTAAATGGGGATCCTGTTGTCACTGCACAGCTGAGAGTGTATTGGTGTCACACCATAATCTTGGGTTTGTTTTACATTCCATTCCAAGGCTTTTTCCTTTGAAGAGTTACTTTCCACAAAAAAGTTCATACACATTTAACATCTCTTTCCTTTTCTCCTCCAATTCCATCTTTTTCCTGTTTCTTTCTTTGTCATCACTTCGTTATCCCAACATCTTTTTATCTTCTCTCTATAATTTTCCTACCACTTCTTTTATTGTTTTCTTTCCTGTTATTCTCTCCCTCTCTTTAGTTTCTGGTTACCGTCAGCTGGGAAAAGAGAACGAAATCAGGTAAGACCACTTTTCTTTGTCGTCTTTATTTTATCATTTGATTTCCTTTTCTTTAGAAAGAATAAAGCGTTGGCTTCTGATTTTCCTCACATTTCTGCTTGTGCACATGAGGTAAGGTTCTCGTTCCCCGTGTTATTCTGATTTTCTTGGAGGACTGTTTTCCAAAAATATCCAGTATTCACTGATAAGAACTGTAGCTAGTTCCTCTTTTAGAGTCAACTGTGATCTCAGTTTATTACTTGTAATGCATATTTTATAGGAATCCCGTTTTTATTTTAGTTTTGAGCTTTGCAGTAAGAAATCAGAGTGCACTTCATCTGCTTGTTGTTTAGTTCAACCTCAGAGTCCTGTGCTGAGGAGTACATGTTGCAGCCTAAACACGTGAAACTGAAGAAGGTACAGCTGCTCTGGGTGAAGTGGGGTTGAGGCCTTAGAGCCTTGCCCTCTTAGCCTTTTCCCTTTCTGTGGGGGCCCTTGGCACAGCTAAGCCTTTGTAGGGGCCACAGTGTTAATATTCTTCACAGTGGCTATCAATATATCCCTTTATGTTTGAAGCTTTTTGATTTCTTGGGGGGAGGGGTTGCTTTACCTTGGTGATTAGTTTTAAAATAGATGACGACTGGTAGGTAAATATTCTCAGGCTTTCTATTGCTCTGTGGTTTTTCTTTTTTTTTTTGACTACTTAGTGGCTTGTTAAGTTGTTATACGTTTTAAACTTGGAACCTTCATCCTGAAGTCACTGTTTCAAAATGAGCTAGAGCAGTGGTAGACCTAACTGGTCTATATTTATGAGATGATTTTAGATGGTATGTGGACACACAATTTTTAGTTACAATAATTTACATTAGAAAAACTGTAATCATTTTATCAAACTTGATATTTCATAGAGATATAATAAGGACAAGACTGAGGAAAAATAATTGATATGAAGAAAAATATTCAGTAAATAGTAGTGCAGGTGGTGGGCAGATAAGGAGAAAGTTGTTAAGGTGGTATATGAGAGACTTTGACTTGGGGACCTCTGAGCTAGAGTACTAATCATGTTTGCAGCAGAGGCTCTAAAGGCAGAGGGGACCTGTAGTGATCACCTAATCCAGATCTGTCATTTATAGATGAGGAACAGGAGGTCCCTAAGATTTAAACAGTTCGCCAAAGTCACACAGCTAGTTGAACTGGGACCGGAACCTTCATGACAGATGGAACAGTGGCTTAGTTTGTGTTCTTTTAAAGTTCTCTTGAAATTACCATTCAGAGTTCTTCCAATCTTAAGATATATTTACTTCTGACCCTTTTGGGGAGGATTGTTTATTGTGGAAAAAGTCCAAAAAAGGCTAGCAAATATAAAGTGAGGCACTTTTATATATGGTATCCCATTTGATCTTCACAACCGCCTTTTGAGATCAACTGATGTTTTACAGATGAGAAACTAAAATTACTTTATAAAGTGAAAGCAATATTTCATTTAGCCCACACAATAATCCTATAAAATAGATATGACAGAGAACGGTACTTCTATTTTACAGATGAGTATGGTAAAGCTCCAAGCGATTATGTAATTTTTAATACATGGCAACTCAGTGGTAGACAGGAACTAAACATTAGGTATTCTAATTCTTTAATGTAGTTCTGTTTCCACTACACTGTGCTGCTGGTATGTGCTAACCAGATATTCACTGGAAACATTTGCCAGGATAAGGAATTGAAAAGATAATTTCATGCTAGTTTTCTTGGAAACAAGGGCTGATAATCAATAGGCATAAGTTCCCGTTATGTCAATTAGAAAGTACTATCTTCTGCCAATTAAGTAATTATCGTGTATCGGAAGTTTTTGAAAAATTGTTGTTTCCCAAGGAATAGCCTTTTTTTGAGGTGTACTGGATCAGGTGTGCTGCGTTCATGGGTACCCTATTGCGTACGTGCAGCTTTATTGACTGGTGTCAGTGGTGTGGCAAGAGTTGAACGGTCAAAGGGGAAAAGTCATCAAACAGCGGGGTACCCTGTAGGATCAGGTCTGTTTTGTATAAGCCTTACTGAAATAATCTTCTTTATTCCTGCAGTTTAATCCCCTCTCCCCTCTTTACTCCCTGGATGTTCTTGCTGATGCTTCTCACCGAAGATGTTCACCAGCCCACTGCTCTGCCAGGTAGTTGTCTTCTTAGTGGCAGTTATTTTCTTCTTGATAATACCGTTTTCCTTTTTATAACACTTTTCAAATTTTAAAGTACGTTTGTGTATAGTATCCAATTTGATCTGTACAAGAACCTTTTGAGGTCAGTAGATGTTTTACAGATGCAGAAACTGAGGCAGAGTGCTGAAGTAGCGTTCCTGTGGTCACATGACTAATATGTGATTTAAATCTCAACTTTGACCTAAGTCTTCTGGCTCATATTTCGTATTTCTTTTCCTAAAAACCCCATCTTCAAAGAACATTATTAATGGTTCTTGCCGTGACCTGCAAAACCGTACGTAATCTGACTTTTGCCTGCGTGTCCAAACTCCTTCCATACACTACTTCCCCTCACTGGGGGAGAGATCCAGCTGCACCAGGGAGTTCCCTTTTGTTCTTCAGAAATAGCAACTCTTTCCTGCCTTGAACTTTCACACGTGTTCCCTGTGCCTGGACTGCCGTCTCATCCCATGATGGGCTCATTCTCATCTCCACTCGGGCCACCTCCTCAGGGAGGACCTCTCAGACCATCCTGTCTTAAGGGGCCGCCTCCACCTGTCTCTGTTTATTATCTGTTTCTTTTCCTAGCTTTTACCACAGTCTGTAATGAATTTGCATACAAGGTTTTTTTTCTCCCTATTTATCACCCCCGTCTCTCTCACTAGACTATCAGCTTGAAAGGACAGAGGTTTGCCTTGTTGTGTGGTATATCCCCAGCTCCAACACAGTGTCTGCCACTTACTGGGCATTCAGTGTATGTTTGTCAGAGTGAATCCTGCACCTCTCAATATAAATTCTCTCAAGTTAGGTGTCATGTGAAGTAAATATGGTATTAATGGTAGCATACCCTAGCAGGATTATTGTGCACAAAAGAGAAGCTAATAGTCTGAAGCATAGTACTTTTATTATTTGTAGTGGCACAAAGAATTTCTTTCCAAGGTTCTGATGATTTTTTTCTTCTTTTTTCCCCTAATAAGTTCTTAAATGGATATGTTCATAGATTTGGGGTATAGGCTGCACAAAGAAGTTATTGTTTCGTGGATACAATTAGAACTTCCACTATAGGCTGTAATAATAAACCCTGCATCATACCTACTGCCAAACCTTCTACTGGAGAAGTGGTATTTCAATGGGGAAAGTCTTTTGAAAAGAGAGACCTTCACAAATGGTGTTACTAAGACTGCAGAAAATTGTGGGATGGTAATAAACTACCCCTGAAAGGCCTTTTCTTCAGTAATATGCTGTTTATTCATCAGGTATTCATTCAGCATTTGTTGACTCCCTACTATGTGCCAGGCTCTTTGTTTAGGTGCTACCCTTGAGGAGCTTACATTCTCTTGGGAAAGTCAGGTCTGGAAATGGACAGTTACAGTATGGAGTGACATATGTGTAAAGGTGTGCAATAGAATGACATGAAGCACAGAGGAGGGGCTTCTAAGTCTGAGGCTTAGCGAGGTTTTTTAGAGATGGTGGTGATCAAGCTATCTTGGAAGACACAAGGTTTCAATCCATAGGAGAGCAGTTCTCCAGCTTTTTATCTTAATACCAAATAAAGCAATGGCTGTGTATACTCTTTGGGAAGACTATATGAGTAGCGCCGTATCATGTCAGAAGCGGACTGTCTGCCCTCCTCCCTTTACCTCTGCTACCTGGAGCTGTGCTGTGCTAAGATTGGTATCCCTGCTTTTATCAGGATTCCTGTTGCCTTTAAAGCCTCATCCCGGCTGGAGTGGGTGGCAGCTTCTTGTTTCTTTGTGTATCTCATTATCCACATCATTCTCTTCATTCCCTTGCTGGCACTGCTTGTGGCTGGACTTGGAAACATAAGGAAGTCTAGGCTGTGCTTCTAGTGCACTCAGCTGTAGGAAAATATTGCTTATTGCTTTTGACCATTGCTAAAAGCAAGGCGAGAGAATGTGGACAATTATAGCACATCCTTGGCCTTCTAGACATCATTCCCAGGGCAGTGGATACAAAGTGGATTGCATGCATGAAGGTTCTTTGGGTGGAGGAAGAAGATTATTAAACTTACATTTATTTATAATCTTGTCCTTAAAAATTTCTTTTTGTTTTAAATTATAACATATTAGTCTAGCAGCACATATTTTTGTTTTATGTGTATGTGTTACATATATAAGGAGTGTGTGCTAAAATTTTTTACTCGTGAGAGTACACAGTCAATGAAGTTTGCAACCACTAATCTATGGGAAATGGTCAGCGCAAGTGACCTCTATGCAGATTTTAGAAAATTTGATGATGAAACGCTGAGCCCTCAGGGCTCCATCTCATTCCTTTGAAATGGTGGGGTCCCTGCCTGGCAAGGGGTCAGTAGAGAAGGAGCAGTCTATCTCCAGTGTAGCCGACTGATGAGATCAGATTCAGAACTGGATGGTAGACTTTGCGAAGAGTGGATCATTTAACAAAGCCTGGCACCTAGGAAGGAATGTTAAAGAGTGGTGGTGGAGGGGAAGAGGCAGGTGAATGACTGTATTAAAAACTGTTTCGAATGGAAATTTTACCTTTCTCTTGTTCCATTTTATTTGTAGTAGGGAAAGATTTCTTTCAAAGCATCTGGGCAGCATTGGGAATTTCACACCCATCATTAGAACGATTTGTGTGTGTGTGGTGACTATGTTATCATTAGTGGTATAATTTTATTTTGCGAAGAGAGAAGTGTTTCTTGTTTTATCACAGCTTTCCCCGAGGAGGGCTGGTGTATTAATTTGCTGTATTGCCTCCTGGCTGTTCCCAGGCTGTTTTTCCTCTTCATCATGGAATTTTTAATGGCCCTGGTGCCTCTTGGGAAGCATGTGAGGAAGGGCTCCTCAGGGAGTGCTTCCCTTTTTTCACATGCCTATAATTACTCTCCTTTAAGAGCACAAAGAGTTTGATAATCAGGCCTGAACTGTGAAGGCTTCCTCCTGTCAGTTTACTGAGCTGAGGCTGCTTCCTGCCCGGACGTTGCCAGTTCCACTCTCCCCAACACTGAACCATGTGAGAGTGAGCCCCCCTCAGCCACCTCCTCATTGCTAGAGCATTCTACAGCTCTGGTTCTCAGAGTGAGGCCTGGGGGCCACGGGAGTCAGTGAGTGACCTCAGGGTACTCTCTTGTTTAGTATTTCATTGCTATAAAAGAAATAATGGGACCGTGATTTTAAGAGAACATGTTATTGGTGTGTCATTTTAATACAGCCCAGATGGCAGGTGCAATGCATGGGAGAGAGGGTCTTGGCGGTCTTTGTAGCACCTATTCGATTTGTGGGTTAAGAGGTTTTCAGAAATTCCACTCTAGAAATACTTAAGTTTTGTGGTTTTTAACCCTGGCTGCACTTTTGAATCACCTGAGAAGCTTTAAAAAATATATCCGTGTTGGGTTCCACTTCCTGAGATTCTGATTTAATTGGTCTGAGATGAGGCCCAGGCATTGGCATTATTTTAAAGCTTCCAGGTGACTCTAATATGCAGCCGGGGTTAAGAACTATTGTTCTAAATACATATGGTTTTATGACTGGTGCTTTGTAGTTTGCTTAACAGGAATCCCATTTCATAATTGGCACGAGCTCTGGGCTTTGGTATTGTGAGCACGATTCCGTAGGGGAGGTAGAACACGGGACTCTTCGCTTTGGAGAAGTGCCGCAGGTCAAGAAGAGAGCGTTAGGGTCTAGCACAGTGCCCAGCAGATAGCGATTAACAGATGGGAGGAGGTGTTGGGTGGGCGTATGGATAGTTGGATAGTCGCCAGGGTGTGTAGATGAAATTCATAAAACATCTGTTTTGGTTTGACTGTTTTGGTTACTAGTATTGGGATGTTGCTATTAAAGTAGTAATATTGGTATCAGTGTTAAGAATTGCTGCTGCTCCAACAGCAGATGGTGTGATTGGTGTTCTGGTAGAGGCAATTGTATTGCTGTCAAGGACACAGTCATAGAATGGTAATAAGGAGCCAGTGCTATAGGCAGCTTTTCCCAAAAGGAGAGGTTTATTGATTGTGAAGGATAGCTTTTCTTACCATTATTGCTTTAGAAAACCATAACTAGAACTTATCAATTGCTACATCTCTCTGTATGATGCACAAGCCACCAGTTGTAGTTTTTGCGTGTCTAGTGGCAGTTTTGAGTTTTCTCCAGCTTTCCTGACCTTTCCTCTATTTTGGGTGGTGATTTGGTAGTGCATCACCGTTTCCATTTTTTCCTTCTCTAAGTTGTTAATCTCATATTAGTGGATATTGGTGTGGGGCAGACCCAGGTAAGAATCTTGGCTTTACCTGGGCAAATGACTTAGCCTCCTCATACCTCAGTTTCCTCATCTTTAAAATGGAATGTGAATATTTATTGGGCTAGTGGGGACTAAAATGAAATAATATATTTGAATATTTAGCATACTGGTAGCTTCTCTTGTTATTTTTGTTAGGTAGTTACCTACCCTCCCCTGGCCTTAGGATAATTGCAGTCTTGCGAACTTTGGGTTGGCTTCGAGGCATTTGCTAATGAGATGTAGCACAGATTCCTGAGGTGCTTAAATGGCCTCAAATGGACTATAAGAGGAGGCATTTGGACAGTGGTTGGGTACAAAAGAGGGAGACCTTCCTGCCCGTTAGAGAGTTGCAATATGATAGGCTGCACTCATTGTAATTCATTTTATCTGTTCACAAACGTTATGATCTGCATATCAGAGTTGTGTGCCCAGCTGGCTGTGCCATTTGACAAGGAGTTTCAAAGAGCAAGAAGACGACTCAGTTCATGCTTTTAATTTTGACCTTTGGAGCCATAGTAAACAGCCTCAGGTTTTACCTCAGGGCTTGGGGGAAAGAACCTTTTATTAGTCCTGTATCTGTTGGGGCTGCTGTGATGCACAGCACATCTTGCTCACCTCTTTAGTGCCTTAGTTTTAGCCATGGGTGAGGAAATGTTTCTGCTATAATGTCCATAAGGCTGCCTAATTCTACTGGAACTTCCCATGTATAGTACACAGTTCTT